ACCCTGACCGTTAAATTATTGGTGCTGAGCCATCTTTTTCTTCTGAGATAGCATCTCACTCTGTTGCCCAGGCTAGAGTGCCTTGGGAACAGTCTAGCTCACAGCAACCTTAAATTCTTGGGCTCAAGTGATCCTCTTGCCTCAGCCTCCTGAATAGGTGGGACTACAGGCACTTGCCAGAATGCTGGCTAATTTTTCTATTTTTATTTAGTTTTTATGTATTCATGTGTTTATTTATTTTGGAGACAGAGTCTCACTATGTTGCCCTTGGTAGAGTACCATGGCGTCACAACTCACAGCAACCTCAAACTCTAGGGTTTAAGTGATTCTCTTGCCTCAGCTTCCCAAGTGGCTGGAACTACAGGCGCCTGCCACAGTGCCAGCTATTTTGTTGTTGTTGTTGTTGTAGTTGTTGTTTAACAGGCCCAGGCTGGGTTCAAACGCTCCAACCCCAGTGCCCTAACCACTGAGCGGATGCCAAGCTAATTTTTCTATTTTAGTAAAGATGGCATGTCACTCTGGCTCAGGCTGGTCTCAAACTTCTGAGTTCAAGCTATCTACCCTCCTCGCCCTCCCAGCATGCTAGGATTATAGGTGTGAGCCACTGCGCCCGGCTTGTACCTGGCCGCCTTTTTCCTCATTGAATTGTCTTGGCACCCTTGTTGAAAATAAGTTAGCCATAAATATTAGGGTATATTTCTGGACTTTAAATTTTGTTCCTTTGATCATATTTTTGTCTTTGTACACAGTTTTTATTTCTAGAAATCCAACTTGAGTTTTTGGTACATCTTCCATTTCTCCACTTAATTTTCTTTTCTTTCTTTCTGTATTTCTTTTTTTTTTGAGACAGGATATCACAGTGTCCCTCTGGGTAGAGTGCTGTGCCGTCACAACTCACAGCAACCTCAAATTCTTGGGCTGAAGCGATTCTGTTGCCTCAGCCTCCCAAGTAGCTGGGACTATAGGCACCCACCACAACGCCCAGCTAATTTTTTGTTGCAGTTGTCATTGTTGTTTAGCTGGCCTGGGCTGCGTTTGAAACCCGCCAACCTTAGCATATGTGGCTGGTGCCGTAACCACTGTGCATAGGTTCAAGCCTCTCCATTTAATTTTCTTTTTCTTTTTCTTTTCTTTTTTAAGACAGTCTCACTATGTTACCCTGGGTAGAGTGCTATGACAT